AAACAGAACACACACATATATATATTAAATAGAACACACACATATATATTAAACAGAATAATACTATTTCAAATTAAACAGAAGCATAATATAGTGCAAGATAAACAGAAACATATTCGTAAAGAACAAATAGTACAAAGTTAATAACGAACAAGTAAAAGCACGTTAGCACTAATTAAACAGAAGTACACTAAATACACATTAAGTAAAAGCACACTAAAACTGATAAAACAGAACATTAGAACAAATTAAACAGAAGTACACTAAATACACATTAAGTAAAAGCACACTAAAACTGATGAAACAGAACATTAGAACAAATTAAACAGAAGTGCACTAAAACGTGCAGATTAAACAGAAACTTATAAGTATTGAGTACTTGGTAAACCAATGATTCATTAGTTAATGATTCCAGATAATAAATACCCAAGTTTTTAAGTATTAATTAAGGATCGAACACTGTAGCATTTCCTGTGTAGGTGTTTGACTTTTACGTATCTAGATGGTTCAATGAGGAGAGTCGAAATGACAAACTAATCAATTTAGTACTTCAAAAGCTAGCTAGTAACTATTCACAACGATCTCTATAGAACCATGTTTTAGTCAATAACTTCCTCCGTTGGTGTTTCGAATCTAATCACGTTCTTTACAAAGTATCATAGGTAACATTCTTTCAAGCATGGAAAAAGATTCCCGTATAACAAAGCTCACGTCTATTTATCTTCGCGATTTGTTAGTTTTTTACTGATTTTTTGGAAGATTTGGAAAACTTCCCACGATTATTAACTGTTAATGTCATCCGGGTTTTTCCAGGAAATGTAACGTTGAAGCTATTTTATTATGTATAATCTTTACTATCCTAACTTTTTTTGGTAACGTTTCATTCCCACATAAATAGACACCGAAAACGGTGTAGCCTGAAGCTAATTACTTACTAGCGCTGTCGCTCTGAGCACAAAGAAATCGATTCCCTCCAGACTCTATAGAGGAGGATGAGTCACGTGCGGTAGAAACTGCATGCTATAAATAATAATCGTTCGTGTCATAGGAACATAAAGCTGGATCTTTTATGCTATTTTTAGTATGTAGAACCAGTTTATGTTAGTCATTTATCGACAAAAACGAGCTTCCTATATGCTCACGTATGTTAATCCTGATATTGAAACACTTTCTGAGAAATAGTACGTTTCGATCATAATGATTTATATTAGCATTTTATACAAACGATTTTCTACGACTTCCTGTAGTTGTAATTGACATTTCATAAACATGACGTTTATAAAAGACTATAATTTTTTAAAGGAGAGAAATCCCGACGCAATGAGATCAAATCAAGACAGCATTTTCCAGAAAATTCTCAGAACAAAAAAAAAAAAGAAAGAAAAAAAAGAGAGATGAAACCACTGTTAGACTCGAGGGTGGGCGCGGTTGAATATCACACATTCACTATTTTTGTGGGAAAACGCCATTTTTCGTACTCCTGTCTGCACCGTCATTTATTTTAAATATTTTTTGGAAGGTTTGAATTTTGTTATTTTATCTCCTTATTTGATAACCGTGTTGAATACACTAACTATATTCTACAGTAGTCTAACCTGCATGAAACTATTACCTTATACAAACTGTCATAAATTAACACTTTATAGAACTTCAATGTCCCCAGGTAGGACAGCGGACTTATAACCCTAAAATCGAGGGTTCTATTCAACGCGGTGGACACATCAGATAGCCCAAAGTGCTCTAAAATAAAGACACAAACAAAATAACATCAAAAAATGTGCGATCTTGCTGGACCGTAAAAATTACAATTTAGACAATTGACCGACAGTGCCCCCCCCCTCCCCCGCATATGAAGTAATTCAGTCCTCTACATTTATTCCCATTGTTACAAATTCGTAAGTTTTTTAGGCTTTTCGAGACCCCTTTTGGCTCAGCCCCCGCCACCCCTCCGTAATTGCGGGGGCATACTTACATCACTGTTGCTAGCTAGCTGTGATACACAGTATTTACTAAATTTGGTTAGTATACCAGTGTCAGATTTAATTAATTTTGCATATTTCATGTTGGATCTAGCCTAGAGTTTTTACATATATTTCATGCCAGACCTAGATCTTTTACATATTTTTATATACGTTTTATACCGGACCTAGATTTTTACATATTGTCTTATATGCGTTTTATACCAGACCTAGATTTTTACATATTGTCTTATATGCGTTTTATACCGGACCTAGATTTTTACATATTGTCTTATATGCGTTTTATACCGGACATAGATTTTTACATATTTTCTTATATACGTTTTATACCGGACATAGATTTTTACATATTTTCTCATATAGGCTTTATACCGAACCTAGGTTTTTTACATATATTTCTTGCTGGACCTATATCTTTTACACATGTATTTCATGCTGGACCTATATCTTTTACATATATTTCTATATACGTTTTATACCGGACTTACATTTTTTTCAGACCATAAAGTGAAACCCTGACAATATTGCAGCCTAACACAAGGAAGTACAGATTCCAGCCTTGAAGATTGGAGAAATGAAAATACAGCGAATATGTAGTATGACGAGAAACAAACAAATCCTTTTCGTGTAGTTCTCTTTTAAAATTGGAGCTTATTAGCTGTTGTGAGTGTCGGAAAGTACACGCAGTGGCCCTGACATATAATCACTAGCATCTTAAGTTTCCATCTCCGGGGCAGCAAAACATGTTTTCACCTCCTTCCCCTATGCATTATATCTATTCCCGCCTCCTCTACTCGAGAGCTCAGCTAAACAAAACTTAAATCAATCCTGCCTTTTGTTTTCGGTTATTCTTGCAAGCAACATAAAATAGTATAACACAATACCAACAGAATGAAAGCAGAATCACAATAAACACGTGGGTTTACGGAATGTGGGCATAAAATTATATGCAAGGGCTGTACAAGGATTTCCTAGCCATTCTATCATTTGGAAGCGTCTTGAGTGTACCTTGAGTGCACGTAGAAGTACGCGCTCATTAATTTAGCTACTCTACGAATACCATAATATCATAAATTTACCTCTGTGACGTATATACAAGTGTCCTTGCTGTGCGAAGAAATGACACGTTTATGCGCACATTATATAATTTGTTTTGATTTGAATAATTAGAAGTTGAAATTATACAGAAGGGTAATCCACCGAAGCACGTGAAAAACAAACAAAAAAAAATCATTCAACGGTTCTAATGTTTTACGCTTCCTAGCTGGTATTGAATTTAATAACATGTTCTACTCACGAAATATATGATTTGTAGAAGTTTTATATAGAGTTATAAAGCTGCAATGCTAAAATCCGGGTTTCCATTACCCGCGCTGAACAGATTGCAGATAGCCTATTGTGTAACTTTGCACATCGAAAGCAACCTTTTATTTTACAAACGTAATTCTAATCATCTCGTCAAGACGTGTCTATTTCTACAACTTATAAGCTGAGTTACACAAAAACTGGCTATCTGCGCCATAGCCATCTCAAATTTGGAACTGGTGGACTGGACTTGAGCTGATCAAAAACATGCACCGGCAATGCTTGGGTTACTCTTGTCTGACCAAACACGTCCTAGCCTGGCATGGCCTGGTGGTTAGGGCGCTCGACTCACAATCTGAGGGTCACTACTTCGAATCCCCGTCACCGAACATGCTCGCCCCTTCAGCCTTGGGGACCTTATAATGTACGTTCAGTCCCACTACTCGTTGGTAAAAAGAGTAGCCCAAGAGTTGGCGGTGGGTGGTATTGACTAGCTGCCTTACCTCTAGTCTGTCACTGCTAAATTAGGACGGCTAGCACAGATAGTCTTCGTATAGCTTTGCGCGAAATTCAAAATAAAGCAAATCGAACATGTCCATTTTGACCGTCAATCTTCAGCTCACTGATGAATCTAAAGTGCGAAGCGCGTTTTTGTGGAAACAGAACGCGAATCGTGAACTCTTTGATTCACAGCTAAGGCACACTAACTACTAGATGGCGCTCGGCTCCTCAAAGATATAATCTACCTACCGAGATCCCTGTACTTAATGTTAACACCCTGAATATCAATAGTTTCTTTACGTTCCCCTTAATATTACTGTATTTATATATACTTCCGGTTCTAGATAGGAAGAGTACAATGTGTTAATATAATTAACATCGTGAATCTTCTTCCGGTTATAAGGTAAAAAACATACATAGTGTATTAACGAGAATAAAATTTAGTTTACCTCTAGGTCTTAGAAAAAATGGGCTATTGTTGGTTGTGGAATTTCGCGCATAGCTACTCGAGGACTTGATTATAAGGTGATACACTACGGAGAAGGAAGGGAACATCACCAATCCCCAACTCTAATCGAACAGAGGGATTTGATCGTCACTCAGATAAAGACCACACGGCCCGAAAGTGCGGAGCGTTTTATTATTATTATTATTATTAGCGGTAACAGGACGCGAAACACAGATCCTCGTTTCTACAGTCCGACACCCTTCACTCCTGGGCCACACTCGGTCCGATTGTTTGTTACGAATTTCGCGCAAAGCTACACGAGGGCTATCTACGCTAGCCGTCCCTAATTTAGCAGTGACAGACTAGAGGGAAGGCAGCTAGTCATCACCACCCACTGCCAACTCTTGGGCTACTCTTTTACCAACGAATAATGAGATTAACCGTAACATTACAACGCCCCCACGGCTGAAAGGGCGAGCATGTTTGATGGAACGGGGATTCGAACCCACGGCCCGAAGAGGGAGAATAATAATAGTGTGTTGCGTAGTTAATATTCTAGGTTATTGAGACACTGATGAAACTTGTTAATGCTTGGCCCCGGAAATTGTGCATTAAAATACTCTTGTTCCTGTAAATTGCCTAAGTTATATATTTAAATGACAGATTAGGAATATAACTGAAGACGTAAAAATTGAAACGACGCTGAATGTCGGCTATAAAAAAAAGTATAATTTTATTTGCGTAGTTAAAATCTATTTTAAACTTACCGATCATTAAGAGAGACACTGTTAAATGTTCCCGTCCTGTTGTTTTAAGTGCTCCGAGCACTGTTCCTACAACAGCACAACAAAGTCCTACAAACGCAATCATTGCGATAAACCAGCGAATGCTGATTGCCTGTGTAACAATCAGACCACAACAGTGTTTAGGTTCGTCATTTTCGGAGGCTGCTGGAGCGGTGTAAACAGCTCCTCTCGTCAAAGATCTGTTCCGTCCTCGAGAAGGAAGAGGTCGGAATCCACTCCTACCACCTCGTACTGACCGTCCCACAGGTGAGAGAGAGCACTGAGCAGTTGTAGACGCAGGAGATATATACATAGGTGGAACGTGAGGTAATGGAGGTGGCAAGCTTCTACTAGGAGGAGGAAGGGTGGTGTAAGATGGGGGTAGGTGAGAGTTTAGTATATCGGGTAAGACATCTGGATTAGGGGTAGTGTCCACATGCGTATACTCATCTAGAAGTGTTTGTGGTGGGGGGTTGTTTCGCCTATCACCACGTTGTGTCATACTGGTTTCGTTAGTTTCTGTGACAACTGTCTCTGGATGTTCAGCATTGAAATCAACCTCGATGCTCTGCTGGTTTGTGGTAGCAACGTTTTCTTCAGTCGAGTCCCGAGCCCTGACCTCAGAAGTAGCAGGAGGTAGACTCACAAGTGATGATTCACCGATCCCCACCGAGAACTGCCGTGGGTCAGATTCAGAGTCAGCATTTCTGGGGGTTCGATTCGTGGGTGACTCCCGGGTACAACCTGTTTTAGAAAATGTTTTTTCAGGAACACGTGTTCTAATTCCACCATACTCAGTAGTCACCGAAGAATAACAAGATGCGCTTTGTTTTTCTCGTGTCACAACTCCGCAATCAGGGGTATCACAATAAAACACACCTATTCTTTGTACTTTACATTTTCTGCGGCCAGCGACGAAACCCCTTTCGTTTCGTCCACACTGAAATGTGACAGGTTTAAATCTTAAGCCTGTACTAGTTGTTACACTGGCATATTCTGGCGAATCACTAGACCCGCTGATTTCAGGACCGAGGCAACACACCGAAGAAACAGTCGGGTTCGCATTAACTACTCGTTCGTTAACGTTGTCCAGATGAACTGCCGCGTGACAAGCTCGTTCCGAAGACTCTACAGCGGTTTCACCCTGGACAACGTTGTTTTGGGATGATATTATATTACGTTCGCTTAAATAACTTCTGCTGAAATAAGTACTCTTTCTAATCGCTGCTCTACGGGAGAAATTTGGGTTTTCCTTTGAATCTCTAAGTTCGGGACGACGTTTCGGGACGACTTCTGGAGGACTGCGCCTTTCGGTGGGATCGCAAGCTTTACCTTTATCGATATCGCCGTCGCTGTGTTTTTGTGGTAGGCTTGGACCCGCGGTAGCACAAAAGAATGACGACGACAGAGATTTTACACAGACGTGTCGTCGTGTAGGCTTCGCTTTCCTGTGAACAGGAAGTGATTTACTGTAGTCTCTTCTGAACGTATTCTGCTCAAAATTAGTTTCTCCTTGATTACGAGAAAATTTTCCGACCGACTGTTTTACGCCAGAATTAGTTTTTGTTACAATGGAGGACTCGTACTCAAAGCCGACATTATCTATCCCTCTGTGAGACTTGTTCTGCCTCTCACTTAATATTATTGTAGATGTTGTCGCTCTATCCAACTCCTGATTGGCCACTTGTTTGGGAAGTGATTGCAGCGGTGGCTCCATCTCGTGATCATATTCTTGTAATGATTGCAATGAACTAAATAGCTTTTGGTCCGTCGAAGCGGCATATTGTTGGACGACAGCTGAGCCTGTGGCATTCATCCTATATTCACCACTTTTAAAATTCAGCTCAAGCCATGCGTCACAGTCGGACAGACGTGTTTAATTCACATGAATAGCTAACTGTTCAGGAGGCTAGACGCTGGATTTCCTATTAGAAATGGCAGATGGTAATCACCTGGGCAAACCTGCAGGAGCACACAAAATAGATCAGTTTACGAAGTTCAGTTTATTCGTCAAAAATATATTTAATAAAATTTAGTAATTTTATAGCTATGCAATGTAAAACTTCTGCTATTAATCAACAGAATTTTAGCTCTTTTGTTTGTGGTGAAATGAAACTAGCAAAATTTAATACATTTCTCTGTAGCTGAAAACAAAAACTGAAAGGACATATATCCAAAAGTTTCCAATTCTTGTCATACGATCTATGAGTCATTACAGAACTAACTTTATCCCTGACAAAGTACTATAGAAATTTGATCCTATGATAAATCATATTATTATCAAAATAATATTAATTACTTTTGTTGTTAAGATTTAACATTTTTTTAATTTTCTAGGTGTCCTTCAAGGCAGTATGAGACTATATGTTAGACGTTGCTAGGCTAACAATTTATTATCGTGTACTGTTGTTATGATTCTCTTATCGTTCAGGTAATTTACTATTTTTACTTTTCTTCCATAGTTTCTTAGAGAGTTAAAATCGATAAACTATTGTATTGTTATCACTCGCTCAGCTGTGTTAGCTTTGGCTCCATCATACCATGAAGCTAAGCTGTTACAGCTAGCCATACGTTATCATTTGCTTCTGAAAAACATTGAATCTTTTTTTTCTTTCTGTCAGCCAGTTATAAAGAAGCATAAAAAAGAAATTGAGGCCAACCAAAATTTGCAACGAATCGAAATGTGAATATATTGTTGAAATAATGATTTAGTTATTGTGATAGTTAGAAATTAACTCCCGTTCTTCACTGAATAACAAAGAAAAAAAATTAAAATAACCATACACTGCATGATGAAAACAAGTTCGTGTTAGAACACACACACACACACACACACACAAAGAGCTTTATAACAAATTGGTATTTTCAATTTGATCGACATATTAAGCGAACGTGGGCTAAATGGCCAAGTCAGAAACCTTAGGGTTCAAGTACAGCTAAACCAAATTTTGAACTGCAGCACCTGCCGCCATAACTAAATTTACTGCTCAATCTTATAATGCACCCACAGATGAAAGTACAAAACACATTCAGCAGCATTACGTCTCGAACCCTAGACCGAAACGCTATCCAGTAAACTACGCTAGCCCTTTCTTAATAGGATGTGAACATTCATGAGTATTATAAAGAGTATTGTATTTGAAATCGACAATTTAATATCGATCTCTCTCTCTCTACTCGTTCAGGGGCTACCGAAAAGTTTCGGGGTTTTGGCCCCAAGAAGCAGATACTAACTCAAAATAATTCATAAATAATTACAATGTTGTATATTATAGTTTACGTAAGACAGATTTGGGGCACTGTCAAATAGATCCGGGGGCAGCGAATTCGTTAGTTGAGAACATTTTGTTTTCGTGTTGACTCTCTTAATTTCTTCCAGGTTGTTTATTTATTTACCTTTGTACCATCCATTTGGAATGTCAAAGTTTATCCACTGTAAATATAATCATCACTAACCTTTCACTTGAAATTAAAGAGTAGATAAGAAAAAAAAACATAACTAATATGAAACTAAAATAAAAAAATAACCTCCATTTTCATCACTACCCGAATAGAAATAATATGAAGTGTAAAAGAAATGATAAAAAGTTAAAACTGCTTATTTAACCTTGTAATATCAAAGTATTTCATTTTCCCACTATACATGGATAAAAGTTTATACTTCGAATTGTTTGTTTAGTAAGCATAGCCCTCCAGGCAACAGAGTAATCAGATCACATAATCCACTAAGAAATTTAATAAAATGAAAATTTAAGTTAATTACCTAACTGTTATTTTAAGGAATTAAGCAACTGTTACAATAAAACAGACATATCTGAAACAGCACGAGGTCCCAAGCAGTCGTCTGTCAGACACAGTTTCTGTAATGGAACGAGTTAATTCTTGATATATAAACGAGGATGTTTACAACCAGCGAACACATCTATCTAAATATGTGTAGTAAGGTAGAAGGACTATGTTGTAGGCTTAACGAAATGCCCATAAAAATAAAATTTAATGTTGATAATTGCTTCGGTTCAACATGCCTCAAGATTTAGTAATAGTTCTAAACTAAATTTGTTTTCCAAACGCCAGAAAGAATAAAATAATATGCACTGACTAACATCTGCAGAAATACTAAAAATAAAAATTTCTGTCGCCTTTACGTTAACAAAATGTAATACTGGTGTACTGAACAATGAGCTATCTGTGCTCGGCCCACCACGGGTATCGAAACCCGGATTCTAGCGTTGTAAGTCCGCAGACATACCGCTGTGCTACTGGGGGGCTTACTGAACAGTAACTCTGTTCAGCATAACTT